AATGAATAATGCCATTTTTAGGATGACCATATATTAAATCACTTGTTTCACAGCTGAACCACCCACAGGCCAAGGACCAGTCACCTGCTGCGGTCCCCAGGAAGTCTGCAGCTCTGGAATTTGGGTCCAGGCACAGCCCTCACACTGACATGGGACAGGAGAAAGGAGCTTTGGAGTCTCTAATTGACGTATGGACTGTGGGAACATAGATAACTTACACTGCACTTAGAATAGACTTGAATGACATCAGACTCTAAGGTCATGATTCAGGAGGATGAAGGGCTGTCTGGCTCTTACGCCAACGGCTCCTTCCAGGCAGGATCCTCTCCCTTTCAGTGGGGGACTGAGGGCAGGTTTCTCAGAGGAAGCCGCCTACTGGGTATATAAAAAGGACAGGGAGTTGCAGCTTCCTGGCTTACTGTAGAGATTTTGAAATTTTAAGAGATTTTATACTCTTTTTTTCATGCCTGCATCCAGGCAACAAATGAGTTCGAGTTCATTTGAAGTCACGACCAAAGACTCTCGGAGACCCACAGTTCTAACTAGCTTTCCTGGCCCTTTCGCTTTGCTACTCGAAGCGAGAGTTCACGCGCCCCTCTCGCCACCTAGGGACTCCCAGCAGGCCCTTCCCGTCCCAGCCCTCCACCAGGAAAGGGGGAGCTGTTAGAGGAGAATGATCTCATTTTCCCAATACCAAATTTAGCAGGCTGTCTGCGTTTACACGGATTCACTCCAGAATCTAAGCACCACTAGGCTACAGACTTTCATCTTGTTTTGGTCCCTGCTTTAGCCCCGGGACCTAAACGAGTGCCTTTTAAATACTAGCTGTGTGATAAATATTTGCATAAATGAGTAAAAATACCACCTTTGCCTTTTGACGCACATGAGCTGGAACTGACCCTGTGCCTATTGAGACTGACCCAAGTCCTGGTTCTCACTTGCCATCTGCCTGCTCAGATTTCACTCGAACAGTCCGCTCCTTCCTACTGTCCCGTTCTAATGCAATATTCCAATCAGCATACAATCACGCTGAGTTATCTCCTTAAATGTGAAAACTTTCCCTTAGCTCACCTAGCCCATTTATCTCCTCTGCATCAAAACTCGAGTTGTCCAAAATTGCGGACTCTACTTCAAATCCTTTCTGCTCCCACGCCATTGCAACAGGTCCTTCATCCCCTAAACTTGCAGCTGGTTAAATTTAACAATCCCCCCAATCTTGTGGTGAATTCGCAGTCCTCCTCGTACTGGACAGCACTTGAGAGATCGCTCTTATCGAAAGGTGCTACACCTTTGTTTCTGATGTGCCATTTTTCTGGATGGCCTCCCTGAGAGATCGCCAAGTCTCCTTTGATGGCTCCTCCCCATTTTAAAGACTATAGTATCACAATCCCCCTCCACCGTACCCCTTCTGCTCCTCATCATGGCGGATACTCAAAATGTGGGTCCCTGAACCTGCAGCATCATCACCAAAGAGCTTGTGAGAAATGTAGCCTCTCAGGCCCCTCAACAAACCTAGTGAATCAGTCTGCATTGTTAAGAAAACCAGGCGACTCACATGCATATTAAAATTTGAGAAGCACTACTCTACTTACAGGATTTCAGTCACATATCAGACTCCATTCATAGGCTAACGCAGAAATGTTTATCTTCTGTTCCCACCCTCGATCCCACGCTAGACCCCACAAAAACCTGTTAGACATCTCAAACCTAAGTGCAAGGCAGAATTCTTAATTTTTTTTTTCCCCTCACGCCAATAACTTAGAAGTCATCCTGGTCATCTTTTTGCTCCCCAGTCCCTGGACCAAGGTGCTCCCGATGGCTGTCCCTCCACAATTCAGGCAGAGCCGACCGCTCACCGCCATTGTCACTGCCCTAGTCTAAGTCATTGTTATTTTCGGTACAAAGACTTCTGTGTCTCCAAAATCCACTTTCACCAAGGCTCCCTACAATAAATTTTGCATGCAGTATCCAGAATGACCTTTAAAGAACATATACCCAGTCCAAATTTCTTTCCATGGCTTCCAGGAACCAACATTTTCTAGCCCCTTCCACACTATGTCCAATGCTCTGCTTAAGTCACATTGATAGGCTTGTTCTACTCCCTCCCCTAAATCTTTGCCTGCCTTACTTCCCAATTTCTTTCTGGTCTCAGCTCAAAGGTCCCTTCCTTAGAGAAACTTTCTTTAATCATCAAAACTAAGACTGACCTCCCTTTGCATTCATTTTTCTTCTTTCCTTTGCGGGGCTTTTCTCTTTGCAGACAGCTCTGGCAATACAGGTATCTGACGCTCCCACTAGAGTATACGGTCCATGAGCGGGGACTTTTTCCTCCTTTGAAACTGCCACTGCTTGGCACAGTGCCTACCACACAAGAAGGACTCAAAGGTTGACCCTTCAGGTGTTGTTGGGGGAACTGTTTGGGGCTGGGGCAAATTCTCCCTCCTCTATGTACCAGCACTTATACAGGGTCCGGCAAAAGTAACACCTGCTTGAGTGTGGTTGGTAGGGTTATAATATGGGTGTAATAATTTATAGTTTTAGTTTGAACAGTTTGCCTAAAATGTCGTATGGTGTGCTTGAGTGTGGTATTGTTGTTACAGAATTTCACGCTTATGATTTTGTAATTTAAAAAAAGGGGTGTTATTTGTCCCGGACTCTGTATTTGCTTGTCACACAAAGACCTGGATTTAGAGAATCCACCAGCACTTTTCAATAGGCTCAGATTTTTATAATATGGCAGTTGGTTCTACAACATTGCTGTACATTAGAACCACCTGGGGGCCCTTTAAAAAGTCTAACATTTCAGAGGCATTTTAAATGAACTAGATCGCAGTTGCTGGGGGTGGGACACGGGGACCAGGAGGTTTTGAAGCTCTGTAGGTACTTCCACTGTGAGTTAAGTTTGGGAACCACTGCTGTGCAGTATGTGTTGGTAAGCAGGTGGTCAGATATGAAATTCGTCATACATGTAAAAAAATCCCAGTCACACTGTTGTGAAAACTTAAGACTTCTATTTCCTATGTGGTATAGAAAACGAAAAGAAAGTTGTGAAAATACAACTGCTTCAAACATTAGGTCTTAAAGAGAGCACATCTTTCAGGTTTTTTCACATGTGTTCTCCTGTCAAAACTAATCCAATTTCAGGTGGTTCTATGTCGAAGTTTATTATTTGCTGATATGCTGAATCAAGTTTATGTATGAAAAAGTGTTCACTTCTACATAAGTCACATCTGAAAGCTTTCAGAGGCTTTGCATGTACTCATATTTTTAATGGCATCAGGTAAATACCTCTATCCTGGTAATAAGGATGTAATTACTAAGACGAAGTGCTGAACTCTCAAGAAAGAAAAGAATTTTATACTCAACAAGTTACAATAAAATAAATTCTTAATCATGCTGTCTAATGTTCCTTGCTCAAGAAGTAATATATTACACTCTAGTCATCAATCAAAATAGCCTTAGGACAGAAGTTGACCATATACTGTGCAATGACCTGTCTCTAAGCTCACCTTTCAAGTGTCTTCATACCTCAGAATAAAGGACAAAATTAATGAAAGAGCAAATCAAGTCACTTGATTATTAAAATCCCTCACTACAATGAAAATACTGTGGATTTCAAAAGAACCTTGGAGGTATTGAAGCCAACCTCGTGTTACGTACACAAGGTTAAACCTGACACCCAGGTCAGGTGTCATGCCTAGAAGTCACACAGGAGAGCTAGAAGAGAAAAATAAAACCATTTTTTTTTTTTCCAAACAAGCAGACAGAATTTTTCACATGTTAATCAGAAAGAATCAAGGTCAGCAGCTTAGGAAGAAATAAGGAATAAAAAGTATGTTACACATAGATTTAAAGGACTAGTCAATCTGCTGCCCCCTCCCCCCACCAAATTCTCTGAATATGTGGATATAATATCCATCAAGATGCTTACCCTTAAAATACTAGGATTTTGGAAAACTCAATTTACAAATACATTAATTGCATTGTTAAAATGAAATTAGTTCATTAAATGTGAGGACATCAAACAGCACCAATACCAGAAAGTGAAGAGAGTAAATACACTGTTACTTAATATATAATCACTGATTGGGACAGAAATGAACTATAGCCACCAGCAAAATCATGTAAGCTACTGTTTGACATAAAGGCAATATTTAAAGATTAGTATATGCCCTTTTCCCAGTGATAGACCTGTGTCTAGGCATCCCAGCAGTGGGTTAATTAGAAAATATTAAATAAGACGCATTTTAAAAGTTGTTCAACCTTGAACCATGATCTACATAATCCAAATTTTGCCAACATAAGCCAATGGCAGCATTTTTGGTATTGTAACTACTCTTACCTGTTCCAGCTAAAACAACACACCGCTTCCTCATTAAACATTAGATAGATCCAATGTGTCTATGAAGCAGCAGCAAGGCATTTACAAATGGGCTACTAACGGTGTTATAAAAATGCTACTAATGAAAAGACAGCAGCAAGTACTCTAGTGTGAGCATATTATTCCACATGGAATCCCATGTTACTATCTCTAGTTCCCTAGATCCTGGGAAGACCGGAGATGAACAAGTGTGTGTATGAATAGAGCCCAGGGAAAGAAGCTCTAAAAGGTGTATAGTGTTCGTATTTTAAATTCCCATGGTAGTTGTAATGCTTGCAGAGTACTCCAACTATTATCTAAATTTGTTTAAACATGTAGAATTAAAATGCTAACAAAACCTTCGTGTTAACCCAAAAAACAGCGCTGCGTTTTAAGTGAAGATGAACTAGGCATGGCTTGGGAAGTTTTTCTAATGTTCACACCGCCCTCCCCCTATTTCCTGCCCCTCTCATCAGGTGATCTAAAGACTACCCGGTTTAAAGTATTTGGTAACTCAGTGCAGAAAATTAACGTCACAGACAAAGTACAACAACTTTTAATACACCATTAATACTAATGATTAAAAATTATTGCATAGTTTTATGCATTTACCCTAAAACATTTTCTGAAAGTAAATCCTGAAAGTATTATATAAAAGACAACCCTTTAAAATGTGGATGGCCTTTACTACCTCGATCTCCTCTCCTTTTTTGTCTTTTCATTACTTTTGTCCATTGTTTTCTCATTATCTCCCCTGCACTTCGGGCAATACCATTTCCCCTTTGGTTTATAGGTAAGCGAAACACACGAAAAGTGAAACCACTCAATTGGACACTGTTCATTATCACATCCGATCATCTCCCCGTAAGACACTTGGTTACATAGACAGTATGTAGGTTCATTGGGATCTATTGCAAACTCAACTGGTGAAGCTTCCCTTTCCTGCTTGGCCTTGGAGCGTTTCTTTTTCTTGGCAGACTTGGATTTCTTTTCTTTAGGTGGCTGATCGTCACAGTCTTCAATGCCATTAGTCATGTGACATAAATCGCGGCTCTCGCTGGGGCGCTGCCTTCGGGGTCTCCTTGACGATCTCTCTGGCTGGCTGGAATCCATTTTTGCTTTATCGGAGGCTCGTTCACTCTCAGCAGGATCTTGAAAACACTGGGAATGTAGCTCCATTTGCCTTGCCCGATTTTCCACCAGTTCGAGCATCTGTGTGACAATCTGAATTTTTTCATCTCCCAATTCTTGACTATTGATTAGTGCTCTCTGGAGATGCTGCTGTAGGCGTTTTTTCTGGTTTAAATCATCTTCTTTCTTATATTTTTCATAGACATCATCAATTTCCTTTAATGTTTCTAAAAAAGGAAAAGAAAAATCAGAATGTTACTGTGTGCTGGCACATACAATATTGTTCAAATTAGTTATCTTTCACAGAATTGGAAAAGTTAGAATGAACTCAAACCACTCTTCTTTAGTATGTGGACATTTAAAAAATTATTTCCCATATAAAGACCATATCTTACGCAATAAGAAGTATATTTAGAAATAAATAAAAAGGAACAACAGAAAACTCTGATACTCACTAATTTATATTAAAGAGGAGATGTGCAGCTAATTCATAATCAAAAGTATTTTATGTGGGCAGGCTCACTGTATGCCACTTAGTGCCCTATGGCCTCTATTTTATTTGAACTTAAAAACAATCCTGTATATAAAATTTTTCAATACATGCCAGGCTCCATCTGTAAAACTTATACTAATTCCAGGACTAGGCTACAGATTAGTGTCCAACAGCATTTACAGGATTTACAGTTCAATCAGCAACTTGCATGACCCCAGAACAGACATCACCCCTTTACTTCCATATCATACCCTTAGATTCCCATTACATTAGTTTTAATGGTTTTTTTATTATCACATGAGAGAGAATTCTGAAACCCAAACTATTTCCAGAGTAGGTTTAGAATCATATTCTTGCATCAACTGACTAAGCTACTAACAGAATTATAGTAAAGTCAGCATTGGGTCACTATACTTTTGCAGATAACTCAGCAGTTGATTCTAAGCTGTTTGAACTGCTGATTTAGGTACTGTAGAGCATTTGGAACACATTTAAATCAATAAAAAATATCTGAGTTACTAGAAGGTATACACAAATCTTAAAATATAGTTCTATACATCAGCAAAATTTACATAAGATTAGTTTTTATTCAAATCTGCTCCATTTTTTACCCTCATGAGGTTTAACACTATTTGAAAGAGTTCTGTCTTACTAAAGGTGGAGAAACAAAAATTTAACTCTAAATTTATCACACCACGAGTCAGATCACTGCTTTATATGCCCATGTTATTATTCTAATCTTAAGAACAGAATGTTAAGACAAGTAAAATACATACATTGGGGCTGTCTGCAAGCAAGGTAATATAAAGCAAATATGCACCTAATTCTTATGAATTAGCTCCTCCCTGGAAACTGTAGGTACCCACAAATGATGGACAACGGTTTGACCTCAGCTCTATGACAAAGTGGCACTGCACATTTGAGGGTGCTCATACTTGCAAAGCATATTTTAAACAGAGGTCATATCTAGCTCATTTGCCTAGCTGGCTATGTAAGAGAATTTCTAAGAACTTAATATTCCACCCTGGCTGGTGTGCCTCAGTTGGTGAGAGCACCGTCCAAACACCAAAAAGCTGTGCGGTGACTCCCCACCATGGCACATATCTAGGTTGTGGGTTCCATCCAGTTGGGGCGCATGTGGGAGGTGACCAATCGATGTTTCTCTCTCACATGGATGGTTCTCCCTCTCTGTCTCCCACCTCTCTCTCTAAAATCAGTGAATATATCCTCAGGTGAGGATTGGGGGGAAAAAAAGAATGTAATTTCCCTCCAGGAAAACCAGGAAGATATATATATATTCCCAGGCTCCCCACCCAAGATACAAAATTTGAAGGTTAAAAAAATAAAGGAAAGCCCTATCTCAAATATTCTTTACCTAACCATCAGGACTTACAAGGTAATTTTATAACACCAACACATTGATACATGAGATAAAAATTCACGTTTTAAAAACACAGTATAAAGTGAAAAAAGGAAACCAATTCTTATTGGGACTCCTCAATGTGATAACGATTTTACCATCTAATCCCCACAGCAACCCTGCGAGGAAGCCATCACTTCTACAGTTGAAGAAATGAAACTCAAGGATAACCCCAGACTTTGACCTCTGCCGAATACGAATGCCTGGCTACACCATTTAAGCATTTTCTACTAAGCTGAAAGGAAGGCACTTGAAATTATTAAATTTAGTTCATAGGTTAATTATCCAAGGAATTATGAACAAAAATACTGGAATAAAAATTGAGGTTCTCTAATAACCATATCCCATAATAACTACTTTGTTCAGTTGTAAAATTTTCATTTCTCTATTTTTAAGTTTTTAAGGCCACTTTTAAGGTTCCTCAATAGTTTCTAAAGTGCCTCAAATAGGTAGGAGAGAAATTTCTTTGATTGCTTATGTAATTTATACCACTAGATATTGTAGTATTAGATCCAAAATCAGAATATACTTTAAAACTAGCAAAGGATTAAAAACATGAATTTCTGAACCAAGAACACACAGTTTTTAAAGCTAATAAATATAAAACTGTGAAAGCTGAATTTAGTAAGCATGTGCAGAGTGAAAACTAGATTGTTGTTTTTATATTAATCTTGAAACTAACCACAATTTTAACGGACCTGAAAATTTCATTACCTCTCAGTCTTTTTAAGGCCTAATACTGTTTCTCATATTACCAGAGCTGCTTATGACAATTTTAGATGGTCAAGATGGAAGATTTCCTGTAACACTCTGTCCTTCCCCAATTCAAATGAAAGGGAATATTCACTTTTGTGAAGGCAAATATAGGTATGTGTCTTTATAGAAATGTAAAAACCTGCAAACTTTACTAATTTCAGAGTTATATGAAAAATTAACTTGAACAATAAAAAAACAAATTAAAAAAGTGATGTAAAAAAAGAAAAATTAAAAATGTTAAATATAAAATTCTTAAGGATATATGTATCATTTTTAGGTTACAATGCACGTATTATGCGTATTTTTGCTCCATCATGTCTGTAGAAAATACCTTTGGAGAGCTTTTCTTTGAAAAAAAGAAAAAGTTAAAATAGTTTAGAAACAAGCCCAGCACCTGAAGTAGCCAGGCTGTGGAGTCAAACGTTCTCCACCTAATTGGACAAGTTACTTAAACTCCTTGTAAATTTTAATTTCCAGTAAATGAATGTGAGAATTAAATGAGATAATGTTCTGGACTTGAAACAGCGAATGAAACACAGTAAATAATCAATATTAATTCTTTTCCTCCCTAACAGAGAGGAGTCCTATCAATCATGGATTCAGAAGGCAGAAATAAATTACGGATTTGAAAACAGAAACATTTAAGTATCCTTACATGCTAAGGGCCAGAAAATGTCACCCCCAGAAGTGGGTTCCTTAGACTAAAACATTAGATTAATGACGTGTCTAGAAAAACTGGGAATGGATCCAAGAAGTTATCTCTTTAAAGTCCATATGGCTGTTTCCACATTATGTCCAAGGTCTGTTCCTTGATTCAGGGTTATTAAAAGTACAGCGGCTCCCCATTTAAACTTCTCCCCTCCTGGCAGCAGGTGAAGGGGTCCACCAATAGCAGATGATGAATGATACTCTTCGTAAGAAACGCTGATCCCCTGAACTAGCTGCTTGGGTCTGACCACAAAGGGTGGTTTTTGCCTCATCACTTAAACTTGGTGGAGGGAGGGGTTAAAGGACGCCAGGCGGTTGCCCAGTCAACCACCTACTTCCTCCTGGGGCCCGGAAGTGACGCAAGGCCCGGAACAGACGAGCTGCCAGGGTCTGCGACGCTACCAGTAGCTGGCTGTGTCCTCGTCACAATTAAGTGGTTGGGAAAGACTCGAAAAATCAAAACAAACATATCCCAACCCCCAACACTGGCTTTGAAAGGGGCGACCTAACGTCCCGCACGGCTCCGACGTCCACCCAACCAGCCAGCTCTGCCCAAACCTAGCAACGACCAGCCATTTCCGAGGCGGGCGGGAGCGCGCGTCCGCGCCCCTCCCGTGTCTACGTCACGCCCGCAGGCCACGCCCCCAGGAACAGGGGCCCTCCCCGGCACACACACCCCTCTCCCTTTGCCCGCAGGGACCCCCTCCCCTTTTAACCATTTGGCTGACGGAGCTGGAAAAAGGCTACAATCCGGAACTCTCCCTGGGGCGGGAGAGGGGTAGGGACTCCCCGATTCCCGAGACGGGAGCCAGAGAGCAGAGGGTGGGACCTCCCCGGAGTCCGCCTTCGCGGTCCTGTCTCGCTCCCTCCCCCCGCACGTTCCAATGCATATGCTCTCAGGGAGTAGGGGCCAAAGGGGGCTCGGGGAAGCCAGGCCCTGGAGACCAGCGGGAGCCCAGCCACTCACTCCCTACGGCCACCGCCTGGCTGCACGCTCCCTCGCCTGGGCAGACGGGTCTGCGGCACGGGGCAACCGAGCGCCGGAACAAATGCTTGCTACTTAAAATGGCTGATTCCCCTCCACGCCAGCTGCAGCCGCTGGGTCTGCAGCGGGGGCTGACGAGCAGCCCCCACCCCCACCCTTGAGACCCCACCGAAGTCCTCGCCGACCGCAGCAGAGGAATGGAGGGCCGCGAGCCCGGTCTTCCGTCCCTCTCCCCGATCCCACACACCAGACCCGCTCTGTGCACTCGAGGACACTGTCCCAGGAGAAAAGGAAAGTGTCACTTCCTCGGGCAGGCTCCGAGCCACCGTGCCTGTAGGCGAGCGGGTCCAAGCGAAGGGAGGACCCTCCCGCGGCCCCCTACCTTGATATTTGTTGTCCAGCTCTCGAAGCACAGACACGTTCCTCTGCATGTCGTGGGGCAGCGACTCCACACACTCGAGGTAGTCCTGCACGTAGCAGGTGAGAAGCCGGCTCCGCTCCCCGGTGAGGATCGCCGCCGACGAGTAGAGTTGCTGCTGCTGCTGCTGCCCTAACATCCTGCCGCCGCTGCTGCCCCTCGCCGCCGCCGTCGCCGCCGCCTCCGCATCCAGCAGCCACACATGCAACAGCCGCGGCCGCCGCGGCCCCTCTACTCCGCAGCCCGGCGCCGCGGGGACACCGGCCGCCGTTCAGGAGGGCACAGCCGAGTCCCCCGATCTCCACTCCCCCCAAAAGAAGCCCTCACTCCCCGCCCCCGTGGTAACAAGCCCAGGGGCGGGGCGAGATCAGTGCTCCCTCCTTTTAGCCCTCCCTCCCCAGGACTAGAGCAGCGGGGATCCCCCAAGCGGAGCTGGCGCCGGGGTGCCGGGCGTTGACACTTCTTGCCCCCCTCGGAGTCCCCAGATGCTACCAATGCCGTCTCGTAGCTCGGATCCCCATGACAAGCCCTCCGCTGCCCCCTTTTCTCCCAATCACCCTCCGAGCCTGTCGGAGAGTCTCTCACTGAACTGCCCCCGCCCCTCCGCCTGCGGCCGCCACTGCGCCTGCGCAGGACTCACTCCTATTAAGGCCGGGGGCCCGCCTCTACCGCCCTACCAAAGGGTTCGCATTCTCCCGCCTTCCCTCCGCCACCCGGGCGATTGGTCTGTCAACTCTCGGCCCGGCCAAACGGCAGGCTGCGCCCCGCCCCCTCTTAAAGGAGAAAGACTGCCAGACCCACCTCTCTGCCCAGTGTCGGAATGGGACTTGTGAGGAAGGTTGGCTGACTTTTTCCCCTCCGTCCTCCTCACGGGGAGGGGGAAACTTGGCCCGGTTCCCTTGGCCCACTGTTACCGATTTTTCCCCCATTGGTGGATCTAGCGGGGCCCCCTCGCGCGCCTTAAAAGGAGCAGTAAGCAGCCGCTTTTCGCAGCAACCTGCAGCAAGTGATGCCTAGGGGGGACTACGTGACCCAGCATGCAGCGCGCGCGGCTCCCGGCGTGCGCCACCGATGTGTTCCCGCCGGGCCGGCGCCGCTGGCCCGGCTGCGGTCTCTGCGCTGCCCTCGGGCTCCGTTCCTCCTCCCGCCCCGGGCTTCGGTCTCGCGGGGCAGGGTGGGGGCTGATCGCGCAGGTAGGTGGTGCTCCCGCGGGCTGTCTGCATTTTCTTTCTCCTTTTTTCTGCCGGCCTTTTAAATCTCCCTCCTGGATTCAACGTGCTTCCGTCTCCCGGCGCCCAAGTGCTTGGCAAGTTTCGCCCGCCCTCCTGCTCTCCCGGAATCCGGTTTCTTTCAGGCTGCGCCTATCCGAGGATCGTGTTTGACCAGCGGGCAACCTTTAAAAAACTTTTTTTCCCCGTGGGTCAGAACGTTTAAGCGTTGAATGTCGGCGGGGGTTACCTGCGGCGTGAGGGGCACGCCGCCACCTTTTCCTATCTTTTTACCTTCAGACCAAAGCCACTGACTGGCCAGCCGGAGGGAAGACGGGGTGGGCAGACCGGAGTAAAATGTAATCGGGAGTCAGGCCCAGGGCCTTCACTACGTGATCGACTGTCACGTCTAATTTCTGTGTAGTTTTAATTCCAAATGGTTTCTAAGCATATATAATAACGTGTGTGTTTGTGAAAGAATTGGATGTAAGTAGAATGAATACACGGATAATTTTAATGGAATATCTATGCAAACAAGCCCTATTGTGAGTAGTACCTTTGAGTTAAGAAAGAAAACGCGAGCGGGTGATAAATTTGGGGTTTTGCAGCGGTGGCACACCTATGTGGCACTTTTTGAAACAGCTGTTAATAGTAAGTCACCATTTGGCCTGGGAAGAGAAATCTAGACCTTGATCTAGAGGAAATTTTTAAATTTCAACCCAAAACTAAGTAAAGGACAAAAGCCCCTTTCAGGCCCTCTTGCCAGAGCTAGCTGGCCTTTCCTTGACCCTGTCAGCCATAATTAACTTGTTTTTCTGATTCTCTATTTAATCAGGACTGGAAAATTGCCGAAAGCATCTTAAAGGCGGAGATGTCATGAAAAATTGCCAAACAGGACGTGCCAGGTCACAAGGACTGGTGGACCCTGCACCTAAAGATAACATAGGTGCAAACTGAAACCTGTGCAAAAGCAGCTGAAGCGTCCTATTTTGCATCTGGCCTGATTACCCAACTACAAGCCCCTTGTCCTTTATAACTCCATGAAAGCTCACGGCCCCAACCTTTTGGGGCTGGTGTAACTCTTTACACTTGGCTCCTTTCCTCTCTTGGAAAGTGACAAAAACTTTGCTCTCCATATTTTCTATTCTTTGTGGCCCATATGGAGACCATTAACTCCTCTCCACCTTCTGAGACTTGTGACCAGAGGAGCAGTGGTCAGCTTGTCCCAGGCTAACCCCCTGACCCTGCCTTGGGGCCTAGAGGAACCCTCCCTCTCACCTCCTCTCCGCGTCATCCATCCCTGCAGACAGCCTCCTTGTCACCCATGTCCACAGTCAGCAATCGGTAAGTCTCTGAATCTTGGGACGCGAAAATCCAAAGAACCGAAAGTGATATCCTATCGTATCCTAGGTAGAAATCCCTGCGCGTAGGGTCTATCACTTTCCTCTCCGGATTCAGCCTCAGGGGATGCCTCCTGACCATCCCTCTAGTTTCAGTCTCATCCTATGACTTGGGGACGCCTGACTCCAGGACAGATCTCTCTGGTCTCCGTCTGCTCCTGGATTCAGGGACAGCCACCCCCAGCACAGATCTCTAGGTGGTTCGAGCTGGGGACGCCCTCCTTAAACTTCCCCCTCCCGTGGCATGTTCTCACCCCTGAGATGTCCTTCCCTTTTCTTTTCCTAGTTGTCATCATGGGCAACACACAACCGACCCCACTTAAGGACTCCCCATTGGGATGTCTCCTTAAGAACTTGAAGGCGCTGGGACTTAACCAACTCAAGCTCAAGCGCTTGATTTTCTATTGCAGTGCGGCCGGGCCTCAGTACAAGCTGGACGGCCAGGAGATCTGGCCCACAAGCGGGTCTCCTAATAACACTGCTCTCCAGCTTGACCGCTTGTCACCGTCTCGAAGAACGGCCTGAAGTCCCTTATGTTCAGGCCCTTTCTGAACCCCTGCCGGCCTGTTCTCCGTTCCTCCGGTCGAATGCTCCTCACTCCCACCTCCTTACCTCCTCCCTCTTCCCTTCCCGCGCAGCCTTGGCACTCCCTCCCCACTGTCCCTCTGCACTCGCCTCAGGTCAACCTCAAACCCCCCCCCACTTCCCCTGCTCTCCGCCGCCCTGCTCCTCCAGGCTCTCCTGCCGAACCCTCCTCTCCTCCCTCCCCAGGCTGCACGTATCCTAGCCTACGTCCCCTTCAGGGCCGGTCTAACCCAGCTACTCGTTTTCCCCTTTGCGAGGTTCCTAGACCCGAGGGCATTATTTGAGTCCAAGTTCCTTTCTCTATATCAGATCTCTCCCAAATTGAAGCCAAGCTTGGCAGTTTTTCTGCTAACCCAGCTAAATTTGCAGAGGAATTTGAATATCTCACTCTCTCCTATGACCTCTCACGGTGAGAGAGTCACATCATTTTTTCCACATGTGTGCACTAAACTCAGAGGAGAGAGGTCGCATTTGGGATATAGGGATGATGTGAACCCCGGACGCAACCCAGGACTTACGTGCTGGCCCCACAGCAGGGCCGGACCAAGATCCCCACCGGAACTCTCAGGCAGGCTCCCCGGACTGCTGACGGTGCGACTCCATGCTTTCCTGCCTTGTTGAGGGTAAGAAGAGGCCACGGCTAAGCCTGTCAACTATGATACAGTTAAGGAGGTCACAGGGCCCAGATGAGAGCCTGCTTTTTCCTCTCCAGACTCTCGGAGGCTCTTCGCCTCTATACCAGTTTGGATCCCGACTTCAGGGAAGGTCAGTCTATCCTTGAGATACACTTCATTACCCAGGCGGCCTCTGATAATTCTACGCAGACTCCAAAAGCTAGAAAAGGGCCCTCAGACCCCACAGTCGGAACTTGCTGACCTGGCTTGCAAGGGCTTTTAACAATCGCGATGAGGACATGTGGGGAAGAGACAGCGGAGCGACAGCGGTCGCGGGAGCAGAAGGACGTTTTCCAGATGGCGGCCTCAGCGATAGAGGGGGCTTTTCAGGTCCAGGGAAGAACTTACCCGAGGCCTCCAAAGCAGCAATAAGGGCAGTTCTCAATGGCACCAGGGTCCTGACATGCTTTAATTGCGAACAAGACGGTCCCTGGAGCAAGGACTGGCCTAAGAAAACATGGCAGCCGCGGGGACAGCGCCCTCATTGCAAGGAGGCGGGGCCCTGGGAGAGGGAGTGGCCTCTCAAAGGAGGAGGCCGAGTCCCGCTTCCGCTTCCGAACCAAACCGGCAGACTCCCAAGGGGGCCCCCTCTATGCCCACAGATTTCCTCGGCCTCCTCCAGACTTGGGACTGACGCCCGGGCCTTGGACCGGGCTCGCCTTCGCACCATGGAATTGGCCCAGCCTCGCGTAACTCCATTGCAGGTAAGCTCATGGATGTCTTAATCGATACTGGAGCCACTCGCTCTGCTCTTTCTGAGTTTTTGGGCCCTTTTTCTCCCTCACCTATTAGAGGCATCGGGGGAAGACCGTGGGCCACTTTGCAAACCCCGAGCCTCCTTTGCACGCTGGGAGATCAGGTCTTTGCTCACTCATTTCTATTCCCAACTGTCCCACCCGCCTCCTGGGACAGGATCTCATGACTAAGGCACCCAAATCAGTTTACATCCCCCAGCCTCATTCCTTGGACTTTTAGGAAGCCTCTCAATCTCAACGTCTCTCCCTCATACATACCCTCTGAAGCCTCAGACAAAGTAGTGCTTGAGGTTTGGAACATAGACGTCCCAGGAAAGGCACGTTACATACATCCCATCACTATCCACATGAAGATCCCACACATTTCCCTTGCCTTTTGCAGCATCCACTCGAGGCAGAGGACCTCCGGGGCCTTTAACCCCTCATTAACAAGTTGCTCGCCTCTGGCCTGCTGCGGCCCACGAACTCGCCCTATAACGCTACCCTGCCCTACTCATCAAGGAGACAGGCGGCCCGCACTGTTTAGTCCAGCACCTACACATAATCAGTGAGGCTGTCGTTCCCCTCCATCCTGTCGTTCCCAGTCCTTGCACCCCACTCGGCACTGTTCCTCTAACACACGAGTATCCACTGCCGTGGACCTCCAGGACGCCTTCTCTGCCATCCCCGTCTCACGAGGGTCTCAGGACATCTTAGCCTTTACTTGGACCGATCCCGGCACAGGGCACTCACGACAGCTAACGTGGGCCTTGCTTCCACAGGGGTTCCGGCGTAGCCCCCATCTCCTTGGACGCGCCCGAGCTCAGGGCTGCCCACTCTCTCAGCCCCTGGCAGCCCTCTCCTCCTGCGTGCAGGTGACTCGCTGTCACGCAGCACTGACCTCGGGGCTGCCCTCGCTGATACCCGCCCCGCAGAAAGAGGCTGTTGTGTCTCCCCCACCGAGTGGCCAGTCAGCCAACACCGTCCCCTACTTGGGCTTCCTCCTCTCACACGGATACCATGCCATCATGACACAGCACACGAAACATACTGCCTCCTTGAAACCACCGCAGACAAAAAGGGAACTTCAGGCTTTTCTAGGGCTCACTGGATACTTCCGATCCTGGACTCCGCAGTACAGCCTCACAGCAAAGCCTCTCTGCGAGGCGCTTCAGGGTCCAGGGTGTGAGCCCTTAGAGCGGAAGACGCTTGGACACCAGGCTTTAATGCCCTTAGGACACTCCGCTCCTGTTCTTGCACTGCCTGACCTCGAAAGGCCTTTCCACCTTTATGCGTACGAGAGGGAGGCCGTCGCACTAGAGGTTCATGGGAAAAAGCATGGCCCTGATTTTAAGGCCATAGCATATTTTTCCACAGCCTTAGACAGTACTGCCAGAGGTTGGCCTCCTTGTCTCCTGGCCGTAGCCGCAGCGGCCCTCCTCATAACTGAGGCCGACTTAACATAAGCCCAGCCTACCCAGGTTTTACGTGCCATGTCAGGTAGCTGATGTCCTTAACAACAAAGCCTCCATTTTCTCAGCTCCAGCCGCGTTACTCAGTATCAGATGTTGCTCCTAAACAATCCCTCGGTCACACTCCTACCCTGCAGGTCCTGAACACGTTACCTCCGGACCCCCAGCAATCTCCTCTTGAGCACTCTTGCATCGTGGTCGTAGGACAAACCACCACAGCTCATGCCAACCTCAGGTACTCCCCTGTCCTCGCCTGATCACAATCGCTTCGTGGACGGCAGCAGTTACACCCTCAGTGGACCAGGGGAAGCGGGATATGCAGTAGTTACGGCCACTCGCACAGTTGAACGCTCTCTCTTACCACCCTACACCTCACCCCAGAAAGCTGAACTTGCCACACGTATAAGGGCAGTGCAACTAGGAAAGGGCCTAAAAGTCAGCATTCACACAGATTCCAAATATGCCTATCCCAGTCTGCATTCTCGTGCCGCCTTCTGGAGAGAAGGGTGTCCCCTCCCCACTCGCGGACCCTCCATCGGGCATGCCGGCCAAGTCCTCGAGCTCACACAGGCAGCTGTCACTGCAAGGCACGTCAGTGCGCTCAGTCCGCTGAGGCTTTAGGAGACAAGAAGCAGACGGGCTAGGCTGGGGCCTCGCTCCCCTTTCCAGCAACACAGGCTCTCCCGCTTCTGTCACTGTCCAGGCAAACACCTAGCTACGCTCCCGAGGAAATCTCCAGACACACTCGGTCGGGGGCCCCCCAGGAGGGACCTTGGCTTATCTGGGGGGGCGGTTTATTCTCCCCCAGCTCCAGGAGACCTCCATCTTACAAGATCTACATTCCACCCCCCCCCACCCCGCCACATAGGGAGTCGGCCTCTTTAAATACTCCCCTCTCCTCTTCTACACTCTAACGAGCTAGAGGACAAACTAAAAGGCTGTCGCAACTGCCAGCAGGTCACCGGCGGGTCCACCTCAGGCCGCCTCCTCCCCACACACCAGCTGCGGGGACACTTACCCAGACAAGACTTTCACCTCCTAGACCACCCAGGCCCCAAACATCTTTTACAAGCTACATGTGGCCTGGCGCCCCCAGTCCTCCAGAAAGGTTGAGAAGACACGCTCTACCCTCAGACAACAACTTAGCAAACCTTCCCTGGAACTCAGAGCTGGATCGAGCTCCTTCCACATCCTCTCCTCAGACTTCGCATCACTCCTCGGGACCCTCTCTGTATCAGCTCCTTTGAGCTCATGTACGACGCTCCTGTCTCCTTTCCCAACTGCCTTGCGTCCAGACCTAGGCAATGACCTTCCCACACTAGGACTAACCAGCCACCTAACCCCTCCGCCAGTACGCAGATACCCATCTACCCCAACCTGCCGAATTACCTTGCGTTCAGCACCTCCCACCTGGGGACTGGGTTCTCTCAAGCACCTCGCTGGGCAGACCAAGCGCTCCAGCCTCCCAGGAGGGCCCTTCCCGGGGAGTCTGACCACTCCTATGGCTGCAGGACCCTGTGGGCTGCCTGCCTGGATCCATCTGACTCGCCTGGAGGCCTCTAGCTCCAGATCCGCCTCTTCCCCAGCCAGGCTCTTCCTGACCCCACGCTCCGACTCACCAGAATCCAGCCAAGGGATGCAAAGCCCACACAGCCAACACGACTGAGAAATACGAGCCCTTCCCCTATATGCTCTGGTATCTTTGCCTTAAAATTTTTCTCCCTTTCATTCTATTCCCCAGGAGCTTGTTATGAATGCCATTAGCCCTGCTTATATCCCCGGGCAGAGACTCTCTTGTCCCTTTGGGAACCATAGCTATGACCCCTCTCTATTTCTTTTTATACTCTCTTCCTCAGGTGATGCGTTTCCCCCCAAGCCTTACTCCCCTGCCACCCAGGAAACCCTTACTGTTCTCAACAAGAAGACTGCTTCAGCCTTAGGGAGCTGGCGGCTCTGTGCTAGCACGTCTCCCAGGGAGGGGCTCTAGTGGTTCCTGGCCCCTGCTTCAGAACGAGCCCACCCACTTTTTTCCAGGGAATGGACTGTCAGTGACAGCGTTGGCCCACGGTAGACCACAGACTTCTTAACTACTTACACCAAAAAACACATTATAACCTTCAAGGACCATTATTTTCCTCAGTAACTTTTGGGCCAGGTGCCTCTGTTGTCCAACAGCGGGGCCGAGGCTGGGGCCGGGGCTGCCGATCCGCTCCTTCTCTAACCTACCCTGGCCTGCCATCGCTTTGTTTACCCTGCCCTCCACTAGGACGTGGTCTCCCTAGACACCTCCTCACCTGGCGGCCCTAACGACCACTCCAGCTCTCCCTTTAACAGTACCTTTCACCCCAAACCTCCCAACATAATCACCTCCTGGGCTAGTTATTCTGGGACTTCTATTTGCCTGGGCCCGCAGAACAACTGCCCCTTCAAGTATTGCCACTTTTGGTTCCAACCACATAAGGGGCGAAGTGGTAACTAAAAATTTATCCAGTTGAAGTTGGTAACGATCAATCAAGGAACTAATTGAGAACAGTCAGTGTTATACCACACAGGAGATAGCCGACAAAATATCCAAATCAATAAAGTTATTGGTGAAAATGAAAAATGTGTCTTTATTTTACAGAGAAAACCATATGGACTCTTGGGCTAAGCCAATACTTGGCTCCTTTTCAGACTGGGTTCCCTTATTCTGTTAAATGCAATATTTAAAAGTTCCCCATTCTCTGCAACATAGAAGTTAATTGGTGACATTTAATCCTATGAGTAAAGCAAAAAAGACAGCCCTAACTGGTGTGGCTCAGTGGACTGGGCGTTGTCCTGCAAACCGAAAGGGCACTGGTTCATCAGGCACATGCCTGGGTTGTGGGCAGGGTCCCCAGTTGGGAGCATGTGGCAACTGATTGATGTCTCTCTTCCTCTTTTTCTCCCTTCTCTAAAAAATAAAATCTTTTTAAATTTTAAAGGCATCTTATTTGCTCTTCAATATGTTTTCTACCATAAAGTAACCCTAAAACGTATAACTAACTGAAATCCCCAAATTAATAGGCATATCTGGGATTGCCTTTAATTTCTAAATCAGATACTTTGAAAAGTTCCTGGTAGAAAATGTTTAGGCCCCTAAACCTACATCCTACAGTCCTTATACTGAGCGGGCAAAGTAACAACTTCAAACTCTGACTGAAAACTAGCAAATAGTTCTGAAGGGTCCCTAAAGTCACCTGATAAAATTCAGCCGCCGCATGAGTCAGGGCAATTAAATTGGAAATCCTTTACTTTTCCAACTTTTAAAAGCTTTTTATTATAGAACTTTTCAAATACACAAAAGTAGAGGTAATAGTACAATGAATCATAATGTACTATTCACCTAGCTTGAACATTTATTAATATATGGCCAATATTTCATCTCCGACCCCCTTACCCTTGCTGGATTATTATTTAATCCATAAATACTTTAAATATGAAAGGATAACAGATTGTAAAGGACATTTACAATACCATTATCTTATAAAAAAATACCACTACATTTAATATCTACACAATTTAAATTTCCCTATTGCCTTTTACACTTTCTTCAGCAGGATTCAAGCAAGTTCCACACTTTGCGTTTTGTTAGTGAGGTCTTTTCTAAACCAGTAAGAGGCAGTTAGTTCCCTATTTAATTCAGCGAAGCAGCAGTGTTTTTCTAAGAAATATTTGAATGCACTGTTAAAAATATGGGAAAATTCAAGAAAACCACTTTAAAAACAATCTAATTAAAAAGCACCAGTTGATAGACTGCTTAGAAGTGTAATTGTACCTAATGCAACGAAATAAATCCTTAAAGGATCGAGGACTTTGTATTGATTTAGAGTATAAGTTGATCTAGGAGGTCTAGTGAAGCGTTTTAAATTGTACTGAAAAACCCCTAAAACTTTTAAATCAACTTATTAGTACAATATGTAACTTAAAAAGAAACCACTTGCATTTCCACTGAGCTCAGTTTTTAAAGATTTAATTGCGTTATTGCATATGTAGTACACATTAATTGTAGGGAAAAAAGTAGAGCTAAAATGAAGCTTTTTAAAAATAACTACAAACTGGAAATAACTCCAGGGTCTAAGTATACCTCCAAGATGTAATTCCATTTTAGTTTTTTTGCTTTAAGGAAACACTGGTTAGGACTACAGGGCAAAGTTAAACCACCAGGTTCTCAAAATAGAATGAATATTAGAAATCCGAGCAATGTCAGCCTGTACATTTTATGAGGTAGACAACAAATTTAAAATTGGTATATACAGTCAATCCTACTGTGGATCTAGTTCTGTTTGACATTTAGAATGACTACTAACAGCAAAATATGATCCTAAAATATTTTAATGAAGGGAGTGAATGCCTGGGACTGTAGTCAAGAGAAAATGCACTATAATAAAATTGACCCATAACCAAGAAGAAAAACATTATCTACTTTGTTATCCCAGAGAGAAAAAGAATAAGTGCATATGGTATACTTTGCATATTGCTGACCAGAAAAACATTCCATTTTCCCTGGATAGTTACCATAGTTACATGAGCTGTTTATAACTTCAAGAGAAGGAACTAGGTCACAATATTGTAGGAGTTTGAATTATGCAATTATGTTTCCTAAAAGCAGGGGAAAGGGTTTAAAATTTAGGGAAGGATACATGTTCAAAGTTCAAACTTGTCTAATTTTGCTGGTGAAACTCAAAAATTTGTCAAAAATTAAATTAATTGTTCAACCTATACAAATGTAATGACTAGATCCATAGGTGCGATAGAAGAGATGCCAACACGTTGCAGATACCACTTTATCTTTGTGAGCTATCTTACCTTAAAATGTTTCTTGCAGCTAACCGGTGAATCCAACAATAGTCTAGCATCTTGAAGTAGCCAAGCCATATGTAAATTGAAGCTTCGACCTCTTACCTTTGGAAGCTTGAGGTTAAAGTTTAGCTCAATGCTCATCAGCCACTGCGTGAGTTAAAATTCTTAATTTTAGGGATTTTCCTATTAATTTCATCAGATAGACACACAAGAGTGGTAGGGAGGGAATATATTGAAAGCCGTGGTGGCATAGACTTTACCTTTCCTTACAATTATATGTTCTTTTTTGTTGTTTTACTAACAGCCTCACAGAAAGATGATCTTACGCAGGAACCCTGCAAAGTGCTCAATCAATAGAGGGAAAGAAGAGGCAAAAAAAATGCTTTTCAAAGTTGCACAGTTTCAGACGGTTATTTTTCATCTCCCAATCAGCTATAGACTCAGTCATTCTCTAGCTAAAGGTAATCTTGGATCTAGGATTTCCCCAAAGAAGAGAAAGCAGGCAACAGGCAGCCTGACTGCGTAGCAGGGGGAGCCACTGCCACTGGCGGCAGTTTAAGGTATCATAGCTGCAGAGATGGGGAAGAGGTTGAGGCGCCCTGTTACAGATCCATTCTTACCGGCTTCGTTTTACAGGTGATGATGTGGGGAGCCAGAGAAGTTCAAGGAA